TTCCCTTTGGGTAAGAAGGCAAAGCTTCTTGCATTTTACTGCATAACTGTGAATAAAAACTATCAGAATCAATAATATACCTCTAAATTTTGTAGAGTTTTTAAAAGCTGCTTCAGCTAAGAAACCATGAGCAGGTTAGAGAACACAGCAAAAATTAACATGTCATCACCACAAAAGTACCCATAAAAATAGTTCAATACTTTAAAAGCTGTATAGAATTATCATTTAAGTCTCAGTTAAATTGAACTACATTTTCGAATGAATATGAAGATTACAGCAGTGGGGAATATAAGAAAGGCTGGACTGATATAAACTGATATAAAGAGCTGTTTCCAAAACAGGATGGATGGAGAACAACAGAAAAGAGCACATGACCTGAATGTGAGGGATCAATACCCCAAGTGTCCCTCTCAATCTTAAGAGGATTTCATGTTTTATTGTTTATACTGTGTTTATCCTCCTGTTGTATTTATATTGTATTTTTATTCTATTACATTTGATGGTTTTAGTTATTGTCATCTATTTTTATCTCTATGTTCTATTTTTATCTCTATTATTGTTTATGATTGCACTGAGAGCCTTCTGGCTATGGGGCAGGATACAAATGCAATAAACAAATACAGAAAGAAACATCATGTCCATCTTGTAGACACAATACTTAATGGACTACAGAAACTGCTACTTCCCGTATCTTCTAGGGTGTGCAGTAATGTAGGAAGCTCTAATGCCAATAAACACCACAGACACAGGACTTCAAACTCATAAAAGTTAATGGAACATGCATTATGGAATGAAAATGAAGTTGTACTTGTATGAAACCCTGGTCCAACCTTTACTAAAAAAAATTAGTAAATCCATATCAACAAATAAGCAAATTATCTCACCAGATGTTTCTGTCTCCCATGTGTTCAGGAGAGTAAACAAATAAACTAATACTAAAATGTACTGACAACTTTTAATGTGAACACATAAAGGGTTTGATCTAAGGCAACAGTAATAATGGCATAAATTAATGCAGTTGGGAAAAAGTAATGCAATAAGGAATGCATTTATTAAATAATAAAGCTTAAGTTAAGGTACAAGCTCCATGTTCAGGAGCCAAGTTAACTCTGGCTCAGACTTATGCACAGTTACAACTAGGCAAATTCTTTTTTAGGTAGCCACTTTGATAAGGGGTTCTAGCCAAACTAACTGCAGCAATTCAAGAACAAAGTAGTCAAAGGAGCCACAGGCAATGGAAATAAAAACCCAATGTAGAATTTTCACCCTTGCAAGCGCATACACACACACACACACACTCATCCCAAGCTGGCTCAGGTTCACATTTACAGGAAATAAACTGTGATAAGACAAATTCCTGGCCTGTGAGGAAACATTCTGGATTATTTCAGGATCTTGCATGACAGATGTTCAAATCAAACTGGGTCTAATTATTCAGGAAGACACTAGAAAAGGAGATTCTGAGCAGTAGGAAAGTTGTCCCCTTAGAGTTTCACTAAAAAGGGCACACTACAGATCTTAGGTCTGGAGACTGGCTCGAAATCAAACAAGGCTAGAAATACATATACTCAGGCAGAGATTAAGTCTAGCTGTAGAATCTGCACTGCATTACTCTGATGTGGAGAGACAAAGTTTTTAAAGCTACTAAAGGTGCAGTCCTATGGGTTACACCCTCGATGCCTGTAAGCCTCAAATTTAGGGCTCACAAACATCCTATGCAGAGATGGACAAGAAGCAGATGTACTCTGCACTTCCCTGTCCTTGTGCCCTGCATTTTTGCCAGGTGGGCTCCTTCACCTGTCTGGCTGGAACATTTTGAGAAGGAGCAAAGAAGGCTGAAGAAGCTTCCGGACCACTCATATCCTAGCTTCACAGCCCATTCCTCTCTCCACCCAACTGAACTGCCTCCTTTTACACATCTCCATGGTTGTGTTCCTCAACTTGGAGAGGAAGTCAGAGCTCTGATTCCAGCTTCAAGGTCAGAGTATTGTCTCCAAAATCAGTGTAGAAATCTGAAATATGGCATGATACCCTAGACACTGTCTAGAAACCATGGGATTGCATAAGGGTTCAAACCAGAAAGCATTCTGAGCTACCAAACCATAAATATTTTGTTCATGGCATACATGAGTCCATGAACCTTGAGAAGGCCAGGCTTTATGTTCCAGAGGCCTTTATATTTCACAATATCAGACTTCAGAGACAACATCCTAGAGAAGATAATGAGTCCAGCTTTGAGAACATGCCTTGAGTCCAACCCTAGACTTGTTATTTAAGATACACACGTAAACATTTCTCCATTCTTCATGCTCAAATCTCAGAAGGTGCTGCAGAAATCAGCTCATGCTGAATGCAGCTGTTAGATAAGATGAACCTTTGTAAGTCTTTGGATCTTACCCTGAGCAGGGGTGGACCCAACAGCCTTACTGTTCTATGATCCCATACCCCCTCCTTTTGCTCCTTATTGAGAAGTTGAATACTGATATCCTTGGTAGGCAGCGTCTCATAGTTGTACCAACTCTGCATTATAGTTACTCAAAGTTGAAGTCAATATTGATTCTTAAGGAACAAAGCCTAGTGATCAGGGCCAAACCCTCCCAATATCCATTTAAATAGATCCTGAATAAATTAAGTTGCCTGTTCTTTTAACACCAGTAGTTGTTCCCAGTAGTTATAGATCTGTATTACATATACCCTTGTTCAAAATACAAAAACAAAGGAAAAAGAAAATGAAATGAAATAAAAGAAGAGTAAGCCATATTCCTTATTTTTTTTTAAAAAAAGAACTTTTAATTTCAGTCACAGCATGAGTCAGGATAATGAGTGCACAAAGCCAGCTAGGAGCCTAAAAGGTCTATTACAAATCCAATTCTTGTGGATTGTACAGTGAAGGCTTCAAGGAGTCGAATCATATATCGGATGCAAGTGTGTTATTGATGAGTGTAAGGCATCATGCTGACTAAACTTCACTTTCCATCACATCCTATAGCTTTCAAACACATTCAACATAATTCACTCTCTAGAGTGCAAGATAAAAGAAAAGGAAGATGATTTGTCACATTTTCCTTGCTGAAGCAAAACAGCAGAAAGAAAACATGTGACTACAATAGTACTTTCAGGCTGGTGTTCAATATACCACAGCTATGAAACAACCAATTGATTGTGATAACTATGAATGCTTTCAAATAACCTAAGTTGTATTTCCTATATTAACTTCATAGACAGTAATGTAGTTTCCGATGCTATTCACTGCAGCTTCCGATGCTATTGCCTTCTGTTTACAGCAAGATACCTAAGGAAGGTCCCTAGTCTAGTGGTGTGGTTTGTTTGTTTGTTTGTTCTAAATATGGGGGACTATTCAAACATGAGGCTGAGCATGCAATTATGAACTATGCCATGCAGTCCTGTTGACAGTGTAGCTCAGCTTTATGTTAGCCACTGGCCTATACTTTGCAGCCCACACCTGCAGACAGCTGACAAGAGCAATTGCCTCTGAGGAATCAGAATTTTTGAGTAATGATGCACTTACTCCTTCCAAACAGGAGATAGAGTGCTCAAATGCACCTGTAGAAGTGAGCAATAGCCCACCTGCCTTCTCCATGAAGCTTTCCATTCCAATGTATCAGGGAGTACATTCCAGTGGTACACCCTGCAGCCAGCTTGAAAGGAAAATGCTGCTCATCGGGGCAGTGTAATGTGGGCACTGCACACTAAAATAAGGTGGCAGATGCACTTTTGTGAAAGGAATGAGCCCTCAGTTTTGTGCACATTCATCACTCTTGCATTATATTTTGCCAGGAAAACCCATTACACTATAGACACTGGCATGGTTCTAGAAGCCCCATAGTTTACTTTAGCATTCATTGCCCAATATTAGTTATTTGTGAAGTGCCTAAAACCTAGGTGTTACATGGACCACACAAGAAAGCAAAACAATTTCACAATATAGTTTATAGTGCAATCTATTCACATTTACTTGAAACTAAGTCCTTACACTTTTATACAACTGCCACCTTGAAAAAACTATATGAATCAAAATTAAAACTAAACCAAAAGAAAAAGACGACTTAAAATAATTAAACATCAGTCTAGCTGATGTTCAATAATTATGGATAGTCTCTCAAATCTTACTCCATTCCACAACCTGGAGTATTTTTGCAGAATTTAAAATATGAATACCTTTTGGTAGAGGGCAAGGAGCAAAATTATGCAAGAACTATTGGGATTTCTACCATAACAGAAAAGAGGGGAGATGGTGTCTTGAAAGACAGAAAAGGAAGAGGCTGATGGCTGTTCTGAATAACAGAACACAACTTTAATTTTCTGGAATGACAGAACACCACTGTTTTGCATAGGACAGGAAAACAAGTAAAGCCAAGCTATGTGTGCAAACATAAGGAAGATTTTCAAAAACTGAAAGAACAAAAGATAAATATAAACCATCTCTTTGGCACATACATCACAAAAAAACAAGCAGAGAACAAGATAAGGGAAATATCTCTTCATAATATTTCTGAAATGACAGTAATGCTAAAACATTGAAAAATATAAATTACCACAAAGTAGACAATTTAATCTAAACATGGTATATTTTCTAAAGTGACTTCTATCTTGTTTGTTATGTGCCATGAAGTCACTTTGACTTATAGCAACCCTATGATGGAAAGCCTTCCAAAATGCCCTATGCAAGTCCACCTCAGTTCATGTAAATTCAAAACTGTGGATGGCAATTATTTATCAGCCTTTCCTGCCAAAATTGAGCTCTTACCCACTTATAGTTGACACAACTGCTAATAATTTTTAAAAACTTACTAGCCATCTAGATTTCTAAGAAATAACCATCTCATAAGTGTGTAACTCCATACAAGCTTCAAATATATTAACTAAAATTGATAACTTTTATACACTCCTTCAAACACAACCCCCCCACACACACCACCAATTGTCAATTATTTACATCAAGCCACCATACAGATGAAAATGAACAGAAACCCCATTACCTGCATCGAAGCTCCTTCTACTCTTGCTATGCAGGCCACTCTGTCAAGGAAAGTCACAGTCACAGGAACAGCAACAAAGAAACCTTTACAAAAGGCTTTCAGGTACCTTCTCCCAAAGCCTAGCGCCTGTGCCATATTCTAAAGTATGAAAGAAAGTAGAATCATTGTAAAAGCAAGATTTTAGAACAAATTTAATTTCCACAGCACTGCAAAAGTAACATTCACTGAGTTTACCCAACATGACAACCCACATTCTGTTGTTGTTCTTATTGTGAACCCAGCTGTGCTAACAATGCTCTGTTAACCATAAACAACCCACAGTGCACAACCCAACAAAAATCCATGAACACTGTTCATCAGCTGTTTGTGGTAAGTGCAACTAGAGTCACATACCCCAACAACCTAATTTTAAAAGTTACCCATGGTTTAACAAACCACACTCATCTTTGAACATGGAGTGTCATATTATGTGAAACTAGACAGTAGGTCAAAATGAAATGCAATTTTTCAATGACTTCAGCATCCGCTATAGAAATAACTTTTAAGACAGAAATAAAAACAGATTTTCAGATAATCTGGAATTTCAAATAAAAGTTAGCATCACTATCTTCCTGCTCTTATTTTTAGCCATTCGGTAAAAAAGCAGAATTGTTAAAAAATATGTTTACTAGTCAGTTTCTGCAGAAAGTTGATTAACAACTTGGAAATAAAATCTATAGACAGAATACCATTGGATGAAGGCAAATACTTTTCAACAATTCCTCCTTCCCACTGTAGCCTCTGCACTCCCTGAAAAGCTAGTCCAGAGAGCTAGGGAACCCTCCAGATAGTTACAAGGCAGAAAGAAGACAATACTAAAAGAAATGGGCATAATTCTCTTCTGGATCTCAATCCCTTCTATGAATAGAAGGAGACCTTCCATTTGCAAAGAGGACAGTCTGGATACAACTGTGTGCATGCCTGTAAATGAGCAGGATATGGTCAATTTAATGTAGCCCTCAGCTTAATTCCAAAAGCCCTCTTCAGGCAATCCGTTCAGACCACTACCAAAAGCAAAGTGTCCCGAGATGCCCACTGGGCAGAAAGGAAAAAGAGAGTGAAAGAAGTATGCTGAAGGCAGGCAGGCAGAAGCAGGTGATAGAGAAGGGGAGACCGACTCAGTGGTGTCGGGCATGCTCATTGCTGACTTTGGCCCTGCTTGTCACCAACATTTGCCCTCCAAAACACTAGTCACAAGGGAATGTAGCCCTTAACCAAGAAATGGTTAACTACCCCTTCTATAAAACAGGAAAACATGCAGAGGGATGATGTAGAAAATGGTGAATTAAACAAGTCATCATCAGATGTCTAAAATTCATCATCAGCACGGTTGACAAACAAAAGATATGCACCCAGATAAGTAATGATTCTCATGACTGTGGGGCCAAGTAAAAATGTGTTAGCTAGGCCAGGGGGCACATTGTTTTCCAGGGCAGAAGCTGCATACACAAAGCCATGCTGCCTGGCGCTCATGGGCATTGTAGTTCAACACGACTAGAAGGTACAAGATTGGGGAAGACAGCTCTAAATCAACAGGAGCCATACTGGCATGCAACTGAGAAAAGCGCTGACTTGCTACTCTAACAATTGGCTCTGACAATGGTGCTCAATACCATTGAATATACAGCACAGCGACCATTCCTGAGACAGCCAGAGTGGTATAGTAGTTAAGAGTGCAGGATGGGGAATCCTGCTCTAGTCCCCAGCCATGGAGCTGACTGTGTGACTTCAGGCCAGTCACAAACTCTCAGCCCAACCTACCTCTTAGGGCTGTTGTTGTGATAAGATTGAGAGGAGAAATATATAAGCTGCCTTGAGTTCCTTGAAAGGGAAAAAGGAAGGATATCAATATAATCAACAGATAAATATTCAGATCCTAAAGATTAACATTGCTGCAAACACCACCACTGCTTGGCACCATCACCACCACCAGAAATCCAATATATTTTAATACTATTTCTAACACTTGCTCTTGAGAAGGAATACAGTGTGGAGCTGGGGAAGGGGAAATCAGCCTTTGTACTACAAGCAAAGCAAACTATTTTGCAAGGTCAAAAAGTTTGCCTACCAGTAAGGAGTAACCATCAGTCATGGTTGCATACCTTCAAGTCACAATTTAACCCCACCAAAGCAAGAAATGAGACATATACATGCAAAGCTGCTTGGTTCAAGCTGAGAATCCAATGCAATAACGCCTGTCTGATTTCTGCCAATATACCTACTGCAGACACCACACTGTCATCTAGAAGCATGCTACATGGGTCAAAGTCTTACCTTCACTAATTACCAGAGCTGGGAGTGCAAACCAGTTTCTAACATTAGCCCCAATTAGTGCCAATAAAAAACCTCTGAGCCAAAGAACTAAGCATTGTCTCAAAAAATTTTTTTTAAATAAATTCAATATATTCTTCAGTGATTTTTGAATGGTGGACAACTCATTTGAAAGTGTTCAGTACAATGTGCTTTGAAAAGAGAAGAATATTTGCACAGGAAACTAATATCCTACTTTACGGGATACTAAGAAGGAATGTTGCTGTTTTAAAAACCCTGAGTCTGAATGAATGAAGTGTTAAGATCACCAAATCAATTCAGATAACAAAGCTGAAATAACAAAGTCTATCTATATAGATGCCAGTATGAAAAACTGCAAGTTGAAATGCATTGAATCACACTTGTTTTTTATTATAAATGTTCAGTGTTTAGTTTTGTTGTTTTTAAGAAAGGAAGGAGGAATTGGGAGGGGAGAGAGAAATTAGCAACTCTAAATATGCCTAAGTCCATTTGGGGGCTTTGTGTTGAAATGGTTCCCACAAAATTGTGTGTCAATGATTAAAGCCAGGTGTTCACTTATCTGGAGGGAGCCAAAAGAAAGGACTTTTAAGTGATTGCCAGCTGCAGCCTATATTGTTGGGATGATGCCTATTTGCCCTATGCTGCTTTAAATATTGCTTTCAAAAAGCAGAGTTTGCAAAGATCTTAAAATAAGGAAAGCTAGAATCAAGAATAAAATATCAAAAGATATACGTCCTTTTATCTATACATTTTTCTTTGTCTTAAATGTAAACAACAAAAATGCAGCACTTGTACTATCCTGCATTTTACAGCAATAAAAGAGGGGTGATGAGGGAGGGGCGATCGCATAGAATGGCATATTGCCTGCCTAGCAAAGATCAAAAGCAAGAGCAAATAACAGGTCAAAATCTGAAGAAGCCCATACTGTGCAGTTTAAAGATTACAGCAGATGGAGCACAGCATTCTCTGGACTGAAGTGTTAGTGCACAAAAGGTCCAGGGACTATAATGGGTCCCCAGCAGGTACAACAACATATGGAGTAGAGATGCTATTTAGATTGCTCTCTGTATTTAAATGTTTATTTTTATTTCCTATACTTGCCTGTGCGTTTGAAGACACTGTTTGCCTGCAAAAATTCATCTAGTCATATACGGAGAGCCTCAAGTCACAAATTTGCAAGTCTAACCACTTCTAAAAATCCTCAGTAAAGTATGATAGGAAATACAGCAATAAAGTCACAGCAACCTTTCTCTTATGACCCCACCATTTCCTGTTGGGGTCATAAGAAAGCAGGGAGAAGAATCATAGAAGTGCATCATCAAATAGCAGTGGATTATTGCAAACATTCCATTGTTTACTTTCCCACTTAAAAAGTGTGATCCGTTTAAAAGGTGGTAATAATAGTTATATGACCTTGTCCAGGCAATCATATTAAAGGCACAGTCCTATGGACCCTGATGTTGCCTTGGGGAGCACAGGTTGATTCAGAGCTCCAGCTTATTTGTCCCTGCCTCTCCCCTCACAGCTGGTGTGGAAAGAACCTGGCTGGCCTTCTCAAACTCATAGCTGGAACTTGCGAGGGGGACCATGCTCAGATCAGAGAGAAGAAGGCAGAGGCCCTCACTTTACATTCCTTTCAGCAGCACAACCTCCTTCCCTTCTCTCCTGGTGCTAAATCCAGGTGATCAAAAGCAGTTGTCTATATACCATACAAAACCCAGGATCAGTCGAGATCACCACTGCCACACCTCAGTCCATGCACACATGCTTCTGAGTTCAGGCGCTTATGTGCATCGAGATTGGAGGACACTAGATCCTGTTTCCAATGACTTTGTTAATGTATGGGAAACATGTTCTTCTGAGATGCCATCTCTAGTAATTTGTTTTTCCTGCAAAGAAAATTAAGATGATCCACATTTGTCAAGTCAATTCAGCTTCAGCAAGCTTTCAAGCACAGAGAATTACAGAGAAATAACATAAAACATACATCTCATGAAATTATATTAAATTGCTAATACACCCTAATGGAAAGCATTAGGTAATGTCAATGTATTGGGTGGGGGGGAAGGATTCCATCAAGGCCATTATTGTGCATTAACACAGCTAATTTTTAAATCATGCTGTTTGGCTGAAAGGATTAAAAAATCTAAATGGGAAATGTTTAAGCAAGGTTTTATAAACAGAAGCAAAGATGATTCTGTTATATTTGTATTAACACACATTAATATAGTGAGGGTTCTACAAGATTTATTAAGGGAAATATTTGCATCTAAAATAGCTTTTTAAAAAAATCTAGATGTGCAAGTAAATATCAAAAGCATGACTTCAAATTATTATTCAACGGTTGCAATGCACCAAAGCTCACTATAACAATGCACTTAAGAAAAATGGGGGGAGGAGGTAAAAAGAAGACATAGTTTATTCCCAGTCCTCCAAACCATGCTTTATAATTGCTTGATCCAGTTATAGACTAAAGGAACTGAAACTAAGGCTATCAATACCATACTGCCCTTATGCAAACCTAAGCTGCAACCACTCTAGGAATGCCATGTACAGTTTTGGCCAGCAGGAAGGAGCAACAAGAAATATCAAGCAAAGGTATGAACTCACCTATGAGGAAAGGTCACAAAGGGAAAGTGCACAGAGACATGGTAGAAGTAGACAGACTTACTCATGAAGTGGAAGAAGTGGATAAAGATAGGTTAAATTTGGATTTAGGATGGATCAACTGCACCAGCAGAAGTGGTCTTCCCTGAACATTCCTTCCCATGGCACCCTCTCCAGCCTCTTGAATATGCTCCACGGAA